AACGTATTTCATCCTCATCTTCTTTTAGATATGAATATATTTGGCAAACGTTTTCAGCGGGTAAATTCTGTACCACCTTCTTCAGGTCGTTAATGTAGTAACTGAAACACTCTGTAGCACTATATGCATTACACACACACATATTACACACACACACACACACATACTTTCTCTCTCTCACTCACTCACACTCACTCACTCACACTCACACTCACTCACTCTCACACTCACTCACTCTCACACTCCACACTCACTCACTCACCCACCCAAAGGTGACAGTACATTATTTTCAGTCTCAAGTTTAAAAAGAGATGTGTGACAAGGTCAGTTAGTGCTGGATTACTTCTGTATCGACTCGCATGTCTCAATGTTATTCGAACAATTCTGTGACAATATACATGCGTCCATTTGGAAAATGTCAGATGGTATCTAGCCATGCTTATCATCGTATTTCAGCTCGAATGTGCCCTAAGCAGCTTCCACTTGTTGAAAATGCCAAAGTGAGACCAGGAAGTCGGGTGGTTGGGAGCGTCAGGTCATACAAGTGTCACCGTGGTTACCGTGACAAATCTACTTTAAGACCTGGTATTATTTCTACCACCATACCCGCAGCTGAGATCTCAAGTAACATTCATTACCGTGGTAATTACACCACCACTAGTGCTCCAGTACAAGAATCAGAAACATCCATACACGATTTCAAAATAGAAATTGTTTCAATTGAAGGTACTAGATCTCCCTGTGACAGATACATTTTTCATGGACATGGCACTGAACAGTAAAATATACAATAAAAATACAATATGGCCGCGCTATTCTCTGTGAGTAATATTTGGCAAAGTCGAAAAGGTTGAACACCGCCTGACTTTCTCACTGGCCAATAATGTGGTTTGATTGACGGTGATTCACTGTATACATGTTCACACCGTATGGATATCTCGGTGTTTATTGTTTCGTGTGTACAGGTTTTAATAATAATTCAAAGTTCCTCCTTCAGACCTGGGATATGCTTTGTTTTACTGTGGGCAAAAAGTTGATTTTTTTCAACCAGCGATATCACAGATGTATGCCGGCGGTCTAAAGTATATTAAATGCCAGATATTCCTATTTAACTGAAGGATATTCTGAATAATGCGACAAGATACTGATGACTTGGGAGTTTGGGGGGCTTGTGTTAGGAGTGGATTTCAAAAACATAAGCTATATAGATGTTAACGTACACAGTGACATATAGCGCTTCTTTGGTATGTCAGGATCACTTATTCGTTGGAAGGAATTTCAAATTCGTTCAATGTCGGGTTTTTGGTTTATCCGTCACATTCTCGTGCTCGAAGATTTTATACAATGCTAAACGTCCTGTTTCAAGTATGTATACTGAAGAAAATTCAGTCTGTATGTGTGTAATGATCAACGTTACTTTTCCAGCAAATAAACCAATAAGACCCAGTTGTCCTAGTCAGCCCTAGTCTCTCTAAAATGTCAGGTCACTGGACGGACGTCGGCTTGTTGGGAGTATTCGCACGTACTCGTGTCATCAAGGTTACCCTGATATATCTTCAATTCTAATTCAACTTTACTCTCTCTGTCTCTCTCACTCACTCACTCACTCACTCTCACTTACTCACCCACCCAAAGATGACAGTACATTGTTTTCAGTCTCAGGTTTGAAAGAGATGCGGGACAAGGTCAATCAGTGCTGGATTACTTCTGTATCGACTCGCATGTCTCAATGTTATTTGAACAATTCTGTGACAATATACATGCGTCCATTTGGAGAATGTCAGATGGTATCTAGCCATGCTTATCATCGTATTTCAGCTCGAATGTGCCCCTAAGCAACTTCCACATGTTGAAAATGCCAAAGTGAGACCGGGAAGTCGGGTGGTTGGGAGCGTCAGGTCATACAAGTGTCACCGTGGTTACCGTGACAAATCTACTTTCACGAATACCGCCAAAACCAAATGCCTTCGAAACTTATTATGGGGTCATCCTTTACTCCACTGTTCAGGTCAGTATGACGTGAAGACGAATAGCTGTATATCTTCCTCATTTACATTTCGCCTACATATGTTTCCATAACAATATAGTGGGGTAGCCTGAGTGGTTAAGGCTTTTCGTTCGTCACGCTGATGCTCCGGGTTCGATTCCCAACATGGATAGAATGTGTGAAGCCCATTTCTTTGTGTGCCCCGCCATGATATTTCTAGAATATTGCTAAAAGCGGCGTAAAATCATAGTCACTCACCCACTCACCATAATAGTATACAGAATATAATTATGGTATTCATAAGATTCGCATTTTGAATCTGCAACTGATCAGGACGACGAGAACAACATCCGTGACTACCGAGTCCGGAACACTGCAGCCTCCTCCTACTGGGCTTTATGGCTACTAACGCGTGGTGTTGCTTCACACATGTCATCATATGCCAGTTGCTCAGATTGGAGCTCATGATGTTGATCACAGGATTGTCTGGTCCAAACTCGATTATTTACAGACCGCCAGCATATAGTTGGAATAGTGCTGAGGTGTTAAACAACAAACCAACCAAGCATCAGATAAATCCCTCTTTGGGCATAACATATGTGCATTTTATGTGTGAGTATCAGAAATCAGAAACTCAGTACCAGAAAGAAGATTCCTTAAGGCTTTGATAACCAAAGTTCCCATTCCAGCTTACGGTTGTCCAGACAAACCTCCACCTATCGACAACGCCTCTGTCAACGGTACAGGTAGGGCTGTTGGAAGTGTCTGGAAGTACAGGTGCCATCATGGTTATATGGGTTCTGGAAACTATTACTGCTGAAACAACATGCCCTCAAGGACTTCAGCTGGAGTCACAGCGGTCTCAAATGCATAGGTAAGAATAAGGGGTAAAGTAACAAAGCTGATTATATTAGCTATAGGTGTATGTTCCCTTACATTTGATTTGATATCATTTACTGCTATACTTATCAAGCATCCGAAAGTTACATGCACATAAACATGTTCATTACTTTGTCCACCAGTTGTCTAAGACATGTACTGAACAAGCGAAACGAAACGCTGGCTTTTTTTAAATAGAGGACAACCAAAATTATGTCTAATCATTAATTCTATAGAAAATACCACCAGTTTAACAGCTGAAAGTTGCTGCTGACGATTGAATTGCAATAAGTTCAAATTGATCACAGTCCGTCAAATGGAGATACCCTTGAACGCGAAAAGTGACAGTCTCTTTAGTAGTGCGTATAGCCACCTTGAGCTTGAGCACAGGCTTGCAACGTCGCCTCATTGGAGTTCACTAGTGTCTGAAAGAATGTCTGAGGCAAGTGGTTCCACTCAAACACCAATCTCTGTTCCAACTGTGCAGGTGTGGTGGCTGCATACCTGCAGCAATGCTCCGTCAATTTCGTCCCAGAATGTTCAATGGGGAACCATATCCGGGGGAAAAGAGACGGCCATGGAAGTATGTTAATGTTGTTCTGAGCCAGATAATCCATCGACACCCTTGTTGTGTGAGGGCTGTAAACGTCGCTGGCGTTGTTGACGTGTCAAATTGGCCCCACACATGGCCGTCAGCAGGGGATTCCAGCAGCCCGAAGACGACGCCTAATCGTATCACTGGACACTGCTCCCCTTTGAGCCATGAACTAAGGCTGCTGTTACTGTTGCTGCTTCAGTTCGGTTCCTTAGATGAGGGACCCGGATGAACCGATCTTACGCATGAGTTGTCACTCGTGTGGCCGTCCGGTACGGGAACGATCAGCAGCAACCCTGGTTTGTTGATGACGTTGAGCAAGTCGTGTAATGGTGGTTGGATGACAGACCATACCTCAGAGTGAAATGCATGCTTACCATCCAGAACCGTCGATGCACATGCGAAAATTATGGGTGTGCTGCTCTGTGGATGTGTTTGTGCGGATGTTTCGTATGGACGTCGCTGACTTGGTTGACACATGTCACCATATCCCTCTGCGTACATCGATGCTCATGCTGTTTATCCCTGGTCTGGTTCAGAGACTCGATTATTTACAGACCGCCCCCATATATCTGGATCCATTTCCTTTCATTATATTCCATGCTTTTATCTAGGCCATTTCAAGACACCCTTTCCACCACATACCCCACCATGGCTTCCCCATATCGTCTTTCATTTCCGTCCATTCCATGTCATTTTCCACCTATATTTATACCATAAATACTATACCTTTATTTTATATTCTCCTCAAGTCTCCATCTCTCTGTACATTCCGTTCCTAAAATCGTCCATTCTGTCCATTCTCATGTATTACCCTCCTACATTCATTTATTCTGAATCCATTTCCATTATAAAGTGCTGTAAGGCTGTCCATTTTCATCTAATTGTCCATTTCTACCATAGATATTTAAATGCCTCCTGCTATCCTTTTACCTCCACCTGTCTTCCTTCATTATTCATTGCTTTTCTACCTTCCCTTCCATGCAATTTCCATTCCTTCATTTCTTCTTTCCACCTATTCCATTCATATTCTTCTTCACCTCTTCCTGGGGCTTCCTTGGCTTCCATATTTATCCTACCTTTCCTTGTCCATTGCTTCCTTCCTTTTTCTTCATCCTTCCGTGCCATGTCATGTGTTGTGGTCATCTGATTGTTGGTCTGGTCTCTATGTGTGTGTTCCTGGGTCCTATTCCATCCATTTCTTCCGTCAAATATTTCCTGTGTGTGTCATTCAGATACTACTCCTTTCATTCTATTTTGCAGTATTCCCGGCAAGTCACTTGATCATGTCTCCGTTTGTGTGTGGTTCTGTATGGTTTTACACCACTGTCTTCCTCCTGTGTTTCCTTCACATTGTGTGTGGTCCAGTGTGGTGTGTGGGCTCTTTCCTATGACTGCACTGAAGTTTATGGATGTCCTTTCTTTGTCATGGTCCACCTCCACAAGCTCTCTATCTGTGCCATTCAAGACAAGCCATGTGTGGCATGTGTTTCTATTCTACATTTGTGCTGTCGGGTGGGGTCTGGGTCTCACTGTGCCTCAGTCCGTGGCTTCTGTGCTGTGTCCTTCAGGTTTCAAGTCCATGTCTCCGTGTATCCGTTCTTTTTCTTTTCTGTCATTCCTCATTCGTGTGTGTTGTCCATGCATCAATGTTGGTGTGGCTCTCCGCTGTCTGGATCCATCAGTTGGTCCTGGGCTCTCCCATCCCGTGGCTGGGTCCATCTCTGTCATGGATCAAGTTATTCTTCACTCCATGTGTGTGCTATTCTATACCTGTCCATGTGTGCTCACTGGGGTCGGTTCGTTCTGTGTGGGTCAGTTCCTTCCATCCATGGTCTTCACCTGTGTCACCTGGTTTCCATCTTTATTCCTTCTCTCTGTCTGCATGTCCTCTCCTGTCTCTGTGTGCCTGGGTCCTCTGTGGTCCTCTCATCTCCTCTCTCTCTCCCTCTCTCTCTCTCCTCTCTCTCTCTCTCCTCTCTCTCTCTCTCTCATCTCTCTCTCTCCTCTTTCTCCATCCCTCTGTCTCTCTGCCTCTCTCTCTCTCTCCTCCTCTCTCTCCTCCTCTCTTCCTCCCTCCTCTCTCTCTCTCCCTCTCTCTCTCTCACTCTCCTCTCCTCTCTCTCTCCTCTCTCTTCTCATCTCTCTCTCTCCTCCTCTCTCTTCACTTCTCTCCTCTCTCCCCTCTCCTCTTCCTCTCCCTCTCCTCTCTCCCCTCTCCATCCCCTCCTCTCTCTTCTTCCACCCCTCCTCTCCTCCCTCTCTCTCCTCTCCCTCCTCTCTCCCTCCCACCTCCTCTTTCCACCCTCTCTCCCTCTCCTCCTTCCCTCCCCCTCTCTCTCTTGCCTTTCTCTCCCCCTGCTCTCTCTTGCTGTCTCTCCCAGTTCTCTCCCTCCCTCCCCTGCCTCTCTCCCTCCCCCTCTTCTCTTGCACCTCTCTCTCCCACCTTTTCCCTCCCTTTCGCTCTCCCCTCTCCTTCCACCTCCCTCCCTCTTCCCTCCCTTCCACCCTCTCTTCCCCTCCTAACACATCCCTTTCCCCTCCTCTCTCTCCCTCGCTTCCCCTCCCTCCCTCCCTCCCCTTTATCCTTTATGTAGAAGTCATATAAATGGGACTTTAATTATAGTTGTACTTTATCTGTAATAGAATACCCAACACCTCAGATCGAGGAGCAAACTGAATTTATTCAATAATTCGGGCACACAGTATTAATGTAGTTGGAGCACACTTATGACGTGACATGACAGTGTTTAATACAACATGTATAACAGCACAGAGCAAACACATTTGTTTCACGAACACCTGGTGTCATTTCTGATTTTCAGTCATCCATTCATGTCAGTTTAACAGCTATTCCCTTTACACCCAATGTTTCCCAGGATAGCCACGACTGTGTATCTGCAATGGCATGTTATATTAGATAAGTAGCAACATTTCTCATCATACAAAAGATTTATAGCTTTCGGAAAATGATAAAGCAGATGCTTAGCTTCTGTGGAAGATAGTTTTATGCAAATGGTTTTATATATTTTTAACATTCATAAAACATCCTGCAAAAAGCAGAAAATACATGAAATCCATCTGTTAGGCTTCTAAGGTTCCGGTTAAAGAAATGATTTGAGTATATCCAAAGATTTAGACATTTTGAATTGTGAACGTCTGTTGGTCAGATTTGTAACGGTACATTCAAAGCCTAAAGGTATGTTAAACATTGGCACATTTCGTGACACAACACATGTCGTACACATGAAACCCAATTAAACTATTTTAGCGGTATTTACAAAATGACTCAGCCGTGCGTTAAATTAATGAAACAATTGTACCCATGTGGGGAATCGAATCCGGGCCTTCGGCGTGAGGCGCGAACGCTTTAACCACTAGGCTACCCCACCGCCCCCTGTAACTGACGGGAACTGCGCACGTGTGATACTGATGTATTGGCCATAACTGGTACGCGGCGATAACCTCTTTCTCGATAACATTTATAAAAACATTTATCAGCATATATATATCAAGCTATGTTACTGAGACAGTCTTCATTATAACATACTTTCTCACTCTGTAATTCTCAAAGTGTAACCTGGGCCTATGGTCTATAATTACTTACTTTTCTGAAATAAACCACCAAATAAACCACCAACTGTTCGCTAGCCAGTACGTTTTCATCTAACAATATTAACATTGAAAAAGGCTAAAATCTGAAAGCTACAAATATTCAAAAAAAATCGACGCAAGTAGAAATGTGATACAAATATTCAGGAAGCAAATAAAAGCATTTATGATCAAAGGCAGAACCTGAGATATCAGCTACGCAGCAACGATTCTGTAAACAGATCGCCTAGCAACAGAATAATCCATCCTCCACATTACCTGGAACATAGTTTACCCAGTTTCAGGAACGTTAACAACCTACTGATGTAACCGGTGATAATTCAATGTGTGACAAATACCCAAACTTGTAACTAACGTATTGATACAATTCATGATCTCTTACCAACTGTTACAAAAGATGAACCTGGAACCGTTTAAACCAAGCATTGGTCCGGGTGAAGATCGGCACCTTCAGAAATGCTTAATATATTTAAAACTTGGCTAGCATCTTAGCCACTGCTATTATCTTATCACAGATTTGATTGAGTTAATTTCAAAATTTCATGAACATAGGTAGGCGCGTAGCAGGCCAATATTTTCGTGTAAGCCCGATAGGTTGCAAAGCTTTATATTTAGATAGTATTGAAGGCTTGCCTAACCTTTTAGCAACAACCGTGTGTAAGCCCGGGCTTTTTTATAATGGTAGCTACGCTCCTTACAGGAAAGCGTATTCCTATTTGCAGATCAGGAAATGCTCCCGAACAACCTGTAAAGATCTGAGTTAGAATTGGTCTTCAGGAACCCATGCTTGTCGTTAGAGGCGACTAACGGGATCGGTTGACCGTTAAACACATATCATCGCTTCCCAGCTGCGTAGATCTCTGTTCACGGTGTCATCATTTGAATGTCTGGTCCAGACGGGATTATTTACAGACTATATTGCTGGAGTATGGATGTTAGGCGGGGTGTAGATAAAGCGAATATTTCTTTGCTTTCGATCTCACACAAGCCAAATACGGACACAAGAGCTAACGTACTTCCCTAATCTCGAGTTTCATCCAGTTCGACAAGTGAACAAATACGTCGAAATATCCGAAGTACGACACAGCTGTAAAGTGACGACTGGACAATGACTAGGAAAGGGCAAAGCTTTCTAGGGAAAGGCGCAGTCAACAATCAGAACCTACAAAGATCACAAACAAGACATAAACATTGTGCGTCTTTGTGTCAAAACTCCTCTCAAAATATATGCGGGCGATTTGTGAAGGAGATTTGTGAAGAGAAAGCCATTTATTTTCTATGCATTATTTCCATTTTTGTATTTTAATTTTTTTCAAACTAAACACCCCATAAGCATTCGGAACCTGAAAGTGGTAACATTTATTTTAAATTAAGATTTCATAGATTTAAAGATTGTTTCCAGTGGGATCAATCGGTAAATGTTTTAAAGGGAGATATATAGATTCACAGCTTCATGAAATATGTTATAAGCGTCAAAATAGTGATACATTCACACTCCTCAAAATGGTCATATTAGCTTTCATTTCAACGGGTTAGCATATTGTAATCCCAACTTTGGAGCGGGGAATAAGACTGTGACGTCATAGATGCGAGACGGCAGCCGAAATAGCGCATTTTGTAGTGCTTATTTACACTGAGTCAAAAAGAAACTTCACAACGCATGTAATTTGAAAAATAATGTGATAATTTTTTCTCTGGAACATACATCTATGTATCCGAAATGGGATCCTATCATTCGACTCTAGAAACACACGTTAGCAAAACCCACTCAAACCTATCAAGTCGTCGTGCAAAATGGCGGTGAGTGCCAAATCAAGGTTTTGCACGTGCAGTCAATCCACGTGATCTACGCATCAGAAGAGGTTTTCTTCATAAGCACTGATGTTTCCGGTGGCCTCAAGAAGTGAAAAAGACACTTTAAACCCACAGTTCTAGCGGTACTTGAAATGCCACGGATTGTCAAATGTGCAACGTGAACGACGGCACATGTTCCACCAGTGGGAAGAACGGTTAATCCGACATCCATAAGAACAATGGGATGCAGCCGTCGTGCAATGTATGTGTTTGCGAGGTCGTTTACAACAAACTGGCTGCATTTCACATTCGCTGAGTCAGATCTTCCGTTGGCTGTCGTCCACGAGTGACGTCATCGAGCAGGTTGTCCACCGTCTCACGTGGTTGGACCCAGAGATTAGGTTGAGTCTGGAGCGGTCAGATCCAGTTTTACCCTCAGATTCGAGGACGGCAGGCATAGAGTCTGGAGACGACGTCGTGAACGAGTATGCCCAATGTTGTGTACAGGAAGTCCGACAGATTCGGGGCGGAAGTTGCACGGGTGTGGGAATTACTTTCTGTGGGAACAACCCTACCCTACACTTTCCTGGTCATCCGTGGAAACCTCACGGCTGCTTAACTTACCGCGACAGAGGTGCTCACCCTGAACTCGTTCCTTTCACTTGGCAGCTCATGGCCATTTGGAGTCTACGGTTCCAGCGCCACATGATAATGCTCGGCCCGCATACCGCGATGTTGACGCAGAAATTTCCCTTCAAAACGCTGGAATCAACGTCATGGACTGGCCATCGAGGTCCCCGAGCCTTAATCCAGCCAAGAGCACGTTTGGGATGCACTTGGGAGAAGGCTTCGTGGTCTTAGGAACCAAACCGTCAGAATTTGCAGGAACTTGGCGCTGCCTTGCAGAAACAATGGCGCAGAATCCCTAACCACGTGTTCGT